AAACACAGTCTCCGCTTCGAAAAAATTCAACCCCTGGTCCCCCTTCCACGTCTCCCTTACCTGCTTTAGTACGCTCAAGCATTCGAGGTAAGTCATGAAGTTTGAGGGAGTGAAACAGGCGTGTAAAAGGTAACAAGGCCTTCTTAGGCAGAGTGAGCTGAGCTAAAACGGAAAGTCCTTCGTTCAAATAAATTCTTGCTGTGCGGGCGGCTGCCCAACGCCCCTGGATCAGGATTTTATCCAACGATCCGTGTTTACCAAACCAAAAAGTGGCGCCCCCTCGCCGCAGCGAGTAAGGGCGAAAACCCATGTCATTCAACGAAAGTGCGGAAAGGCACTCACTGAACTTGGCTCGCCACTGGTGTGGAGGAGGGGTTAGCGGGCTGTGTGAGCTCGACGTCTTCTTCCAAGCCCAAAGCCAGGCCAGGACCGGTGTAACGGTCACCGTGATGCTTTCAGCGGCACCAGCACGTTTGCCACCCTTGGTCAATCCTAAAGATATCACAGCGGGCTTGTTTGGAGCTGTCATGAAAACGTGGTGGTTGCACACGGAGAGGAGTTCCCCTGTCCGGAGAAGACCGTAAAAACCCAACAGCAGTGAAAGACCGAAAGCGTAGTGCTCATGGAACAGACACCATCCTAACATAGCCTCAAGGACTGCTTCAGGCAGTGGGGGTGCCCGGTTTGGCACCTCGTTAGTGTGCCATGTCTTCAACAAGCGCCAGGTCCCTTGAAGTTTGCCCTTCAGACGAGGTTCAACGTCTTGCATGGCCGCAACACTATCGCTCGCAAGGGCACGTCCTTCGCCTGATGCCCACAAGTGCTCAACATAGTCAGACAACAGGTCGTCAAAGGCGGGGAGACTACGTGGGAGTTCGAGGTGGTTGGACTGGAGGTAGGCATAGAATTTCTCTCGGGCGGCTTGGTACCGTCTGCGCGTCTTGGGTTGTATGGCTAACTGCTTCAAAGTTCCTAAAGTCTGCCTTTGCTTCGCTCTCTCCTCTTTGCTGCGTCCTTCCAAATGCACACTCACTTTCCCCATTTTCTTCTGACGGGCCGCCGGCTAGGCCGGTCGGCGGGGTTTTGACTTGTATGCACATATCCCCAACAGGGGTGAAGGTCCGCAGCGAGGAGTAACGAATTGACCTTAACCAAGACTGAGCGAAGTTTCTGACTAGAGGAACGCCCCCGAGACAAGGCATGTAAGCACACCAGACTGTCGATCAAGTGCAACACCCTACAGCCGCTCAAACGCCTGCGCTGCACCAGCCAACGCAGAGTAGTCAACACGGCACGCATCTCAAGGATGTTGATATGCTCACCTGAACGTTTCCAGGCCCAACCTGCGACCTCACGCCACCTCCAGAGTTTTGCTGGCACACTCGTACGCAACCTGTGGAACTTGACCTGGGGTTCACTGGCGCTCTGTACCATCAAGTCCTCCCCTTTGACGGAGATCAACCCCAACAACTTGCGCAACAACGGAGCCTCCAACGTAGAGACCAAACGCCCATGCACGCCCAAAGGCGGACGAATCAACAAGCTCTGCAAATGCTCGCCTCGACCAGGAGTGAGAATGTTCACGATGTCTTGTAGCGAGCGGGGCCTGCATAGTCCCAGTTTGTACCCAAGCTGGTACACCAACCATGCAATGACTCCTACCTGCCAGGAGTTGCCAACCAATGTCAGTCGAATGTCGTTCCAGCTGTCGCCCTTCTGGTTTTGTTTGCACACACACGGACGGGTATACCCCACTGGTATACCCACGCAGGCTTCTCTCTCGGAAATGTTCGGCAACCTACCGGTGCCTTTCTTGTTCCACAGGAGGTGATGGTCACGATATTGGTAAGGTGGGAACCGATGTTGATCAGCAACCCACCTAGCTTTCTCATGCGCGCCACACCTGTCCAAACCTGCAGGGCGTCGACCTGGACTTGACCGTGGCCTAGAGGTGGTGAAGGTAGGAAACTTGCAGCCATCTCGCATCGACCAACCACTTTCAAGCAAGGCGTCAACATGGACCGTGGCGTTCAACTCCACCGACCCTGCGCTGCCCCAACATGTCTCATCGGGAGCGATCACTGTTGCTCCCTCCCCTGAAGTCAACTCCCAGGAGACCCAGTATAGACGCGGCCTGTGACAGAGTGTGATGCCGGCGGAGTCAATGAAATAGGGTTGCAATCCCACGGTGCGACTCATGACCTCTCGGTCTTCATCCGACATCGACGCCACTGATTCCATGAGCAAGTGGGTTTGTGCCCAGGGAAAGTACTCCTCAAACAAGGCCTTGATGCGAGGGACTTCTTGGAATAAGCTGCTACGCGAATCTAGCAAAGCTCCCTTCCTTCCTGCATTTAAACCACTCACCCCCTGGCATGGGGGGCCCGCGCCTATCAGCACCAAACCTACTGACGGGTAACGAAGACTGAGTTCTCGAACTAGAGGGCCATCTACGGTCTGGACATCGTCATGGAACGTAGCGTCAGGGAAGTAGGACTCCACGACACGCTTTGCTACATCTTCTTTCTCCACACTCAAATGTCCAGCAACCGGAATCCCAAGGGCATCAACGGCCAAGCGAAGCGCCCCCAGTCCGTCAAACAAGCCCACCGTCAACACCTGCACGGTCTGGATCTCCTCTGGGATGTCCCCTCTCACCTCTGCATCCAATGCGGCCACGCCGTAGCCCGTGAGTCCTTCACTCACACAGAAGCCGCCGCCTGCTGTAGATGCATCACTGCAAGTCACGTGCTCCCCCAAAGGTAGTTTGAAGCTCATCTGCGCTAAGGGACACAACAGAATGAACCGCAACAGCTCTCTCATGACCTGCTTGGGCAATGGCATACGCACAACTGGGGGCAGACGCTTCAGACGCACCATAAACTTCCAGACCTCGTTGAGCGCACACAACAAGGGACGACGGAACATGCAAAAGTACACGAAGCCACCGCACACTACCTGCAACTCCTTTAGGGTGCAGTGCCTCCGCTGAACGAGACAAAGCCCTAGAGACACGTAGAGGAGCACCTTCTCGGGGCGTGGCATGGCAAAACCCAATGTGCCATCAACTATGGCTCCCTGTATTTCTGCCTTGAAGACACGCTCTGTCGACTTCTTAGGGTGGCGAGGCAACCCCAAACGGGAGTACTCCTCCCTCAATGCTTGAACAGCCTGAGACACGGTGCCCTCAATAAGTTCTGCCTGCTCTCGACTGTGGCGCTCCAGCAAGTCAAAATTGTCAAGGTAGACCCGAAACAAGGAGGACGATGAGCTTCCTACCCTATCACGTCTCATCTCTGTTTCGCCCCCCAGTCCATGAGGGGCTGACTGCTGGCTCCACTTCACCACGTTCCGGTGTTTATGCTGTGCGATCGATACACTGTTGATAAAACCCATAGGTAATACCTTTGAAACCAAGACACAGCGTTTGCCCTTCCATTGTTGCGGAATCCGATCTTCCTCCACCTCTTTGTTGAACCCTAAGAACCTTTTCCACTCCACTGGAACCTGGAACAAGTAGAAGAAACAACGTATATCTTCTGCACTCATCACTGCTACTTCCCCCTCATCTAATAAGAAGCTTTGGAAAGAAGCAATTGACGGGAGCGTGCAAACTTCTCCCACCAAGGGTTCACATAGTTTGTTGAAAGGAATCAAATTCATAATCAAACGCTGGGTTTCCAGGGGGCCCACGAACTCACCCTTTCCGACCGCAAAAAGTCCGTTCAGCAAGGGCTCCTGGCCGACATGGTAGAGCTTCTCCACGGGCCACACTTCGCAGATCCCCCGATCCACCAAGCCTCTGCTGAGCGACGGCCAGTCCTCGCCCACCATAACCTTTGGGGGCCTGGTGCGAACCATGGTGTCCACCGGGATCAAAAAGTCCTCCAAATGTTTGATGTAATGAAGGGTACCCTCAGTGCAAAAGTCGACCAACCTAAGCTGACCCACCTGTTCAGGAAGTGAGTTACGAACAGCTTCCCAACTCAAAGTCTGAGCGAGCCGAATCTCTTCCCCAGCGTAGGTTACCCCCCTCTTCCTGAAGAACGAATCGAAATCCACCGGGTCCATAGTCCGATCCCACACATCGAATCTCCCGCACAGCATGCTAAGGTTTTCCGACAGTCCCACAGGGCAACGGGACGGTGTTGGCCCATGCCCATGTCCGATGGCCAAATGATTGAGGCCAAATACCATCTGCTCACACGCCTTCTCAGACCCTTCGCTGCGGCAACGGGGCAACGGAAGTGGGAAAATACTATCATGGGGTGAACACTGAACTTCCATTGCCGTGGACAGCATGCGCTCTTCATCAAGTTTCTCGAGAAAAACCCGTGCCGCCGTCATGGCCTGAAGCATTGTACTAGGTGAAACTCGGCTGCTTGCGACCTCCGACTCACGTCTCCAGTCGGGAGGATTCGGGGCGGCCCGTTCCCCTCCCTCTAAACTCTGAGGTTCCAGAACTCCTTTGTCTTCTGCCTCCCGGGCGGAGCTCCGTGCAGCATTGCTCAAGGGCGCATCTGGCCCGAATACTCCTCTGCCATTGCCTCCCTCCAGTTGGGAGGACTTATCATGTGCACTCTCCTCCAGCAAGGGACGGCCCTTGCTCTCTTCCTCTGTCGAAAAGCAGCCCCTGCCACAAGGCTCCTCCTCATTGTCCTCTCTGCCAGCTTTGATGCCATCTCTGTCAGCCTCTGCAAGCCTCTCTCTGCCACCTACTTGTCCTTCTCTTCCTCTCGCTTCCCTTTTCCTCTTCCTTTGTCCCGGTCGCTCTTTCCTTTGCCCTCGGATTTGCCCTTCTCTCTTCTGCCTTTGTCCCTGTCTTTTCCTTTGCCTCCTTTCGACCAGTCCCTTTCGTTCTGCCACTCCCACGCTCTGCCTCGGGAGTTCCGAAGGTGTACACGCTCCTCCTGCCACACCTCCTTGCCAGCCTCTGCTGCTTCGTGTGTCGTCACAAGGGTCGCCTTCTCGGGTCCGACAAGTTCGAGCCTCCTTGCAATGTCGCTCTGAACCCCTCTCGCAATCTGCTCCAAGCTCTTTATTCTCTGCGAGGCCACGTCGAGAGCTGCTGCTGGCCGTCCTCGGAGCATCAGGTCCACCACGAGGCACCAATGTTGCATCTCCCGTCCCATAACCGGCCCCACCTGGCTCTGTAGGTGTTGCCGGTAGTATTGGCTTGCCACGGGGGGCAGCTTCCTTCGCTGCTGGAACTCAGGAATCCTTCGGCGGTCATCAAACTCTGTCTCATGTCTTGCAGAACCCCGCAACTCAGCGCTCCAGGGACCCTCTTCCAAATCTGAAGCGCCCTTCTCTCTGCCTCGAAGAGCTCGCTGGAACCAATCAGCTCCTCGGCCAAACTGGATGAAGTCGTTGAGCTGTCGCTGTCCGCCTCCTCTCTCCCTCTGCTCCGGGAGCGGCTCCCCTTCTTTCTCCTCTGGCCTCTTCTGATCTTCCGCGCCTTGCGCATCAGGACCTTTCGAATCTGGGGGTCCGGATCGACTCCTGTGCGGGCGAAGATGTCCTTCAATGGTACCTCCAGGCAAGGCCTGACCTTCTCTTTCTCCTTCTTTTTGACCTTCTTCTTCGAAGTCCTCTTCTCCTTTTCTCCCTCCGCTACGGGAGCATTTGCGCCTTCTGGGGAGTAGTCCTCTGCGGTCACGCCCTCGACGACCCGCTTCATCTCGGTCCTCAACTTGGCTAACTGATCTGGCGGCTCGTGATCCTCCACCATGCCAAGGCCTCGACCCTTCACTTCCTCGAGATTGTTCCACCAGCCCTCTGGCGGACCTCCTTGGCTCATCAGGCGTTCCCCATGCACCAGGTCGTTGTTCCATACCAAGTTCTCGCAGGGTTGACCGCATAGATGAACCTCCATGTCTCTGCACCGGCCGCCCACTGCTTTCAACAAACTCTCGGTTTGCGTACCCGTCACCCGAATCCGCAGCTTTCGATCTCCGCCGCGGAAGTTCAGGCCGGACACCACTCCTGCAATCAAACATGGAGCCTCCCAATAACGGCCTTCCACCACGACTTTGTCCAGGCTGCCAATCTCCTCCATTGTAAGTTCCGGGATGGACCTCCACATCCCACTTGGCTCTTCGACTTCTCTCCCTTCCTCTCTCAATGCTGGCCTCCTCAACACTTCCTCGGCACCTCCGCGACGACGACCTGGCGGTCGCACCCGAGCTCCTGGTCTTCTGAGCACTTTGGGTGCCATCACCTCCTCTCCTGCTCTCTGTCGTACTCGTTCCAAAGCCTATAGTTGAGGTTCTTCTCACGCTTTGTCCTGCCCTTTGACTCGGTAGGCTGACGTCCTCGATAACCCCCTGGCCAGTAGCGGTATCCCTGAGAACCCTGGGACTTGGGAAAGGCCTGGTATTCAACCCAACCACTGTTGTCTCGGTGCCCGGGGGGAGGATGGTCTGGCTCTTGGGGTTTCTTTCGGGGAAGGACTCTGTCTCTCTCCTTCCTCTCTCCCTCGCTTCTGTTACGGGAGGATGCACGGGCACTGGGTGGCGGTGCTGCCCGCCTGGCGACTGGATCGAAGTGGGATGGCCTTGGCGGGGACCTGGGACTGGAAGGCTGGGGGCGCACACTCTTCGCCGGGGAAGCTCGGGCCTGATCGGCAGCCGCTCTGCTTGTACCTTGGTGTTCAGGAATTCGGGCAGGCGACCCAGGTCTCTTGGAGTGTCCCTCAACCTCGACGTGGCTACGGGAGCGTCTCCGTCTCCCACGGGTGCTGCTCCTCTCTCTCCTGTCCGATTTTCTCCCCGATGACCTGCGTTGACGACGACGGGACCTAGAGCGCCTCCTCTCGCACTTCTGTGAGCTCTTTGCAGAAGCTTCTACGGGAGATCCTGCCTCTTCTCCCTCACGCTGACCACTGGTGGCTGAGACCTCCTCTTCGGGCTTTTCGCTGGCGGCTGACTCCTCCTTCTCTTCCTCACTTTTGCCCCCTTCCTCCTTGGGGCGGAGCTCGCTGGACTTGTTCTTCTCCTCTGGTTTGGTCTGTGCTGTAGACGGCCGAGAAGGAGTGGCAGTTCCTTCCCGACTGTTTCGAAAGGCCGGTGCACTAAAGGTGGCCTTCCCCACACCGTCCTTCGATCTCGACTCGGCCACGTCCAGCAGCTCCAAGTAGACCGACCTCAGCCTTCTCACACACTCTCGTGAGAAGCTCTCCCCCAAGCGCTCGTTGTACGCGAGGAGGAGCAACCTTTGACAGGTGAGGCACAACTGGCACTTGCACGAGCGCCAGTCGTGAACCTCACCCATCAGCTGAAGCCGAGAATCTGCGGAACACGAATGCGGGTTTCGTCTTTAAATACGAAAACGTAAGTCATATATATGCACCACCTCGGCCTCAACAGAACCCTTTCAAGGATGGTGCCATCTTCTCTCAATCAGCTAAGGATCCTAAGATATCCTAAGGATACTCCTGCCACTGGGTCAGTGGGATCGGACTAACCAACCCGCTGCCCGGCACCAGTTCTGGGGTGTGGACACCGCTGGACCATTGCCATGTGCCACCGGGCCTGTCTCTCAAGCAACTCTTGTAACCAAGAGGCTGATGAAGCTGCAGGACTTAGGGCACCTGCAGGTAGAGTCTCCTCTTGACCCAGCTTCTTCAATTGATCCAAAAGCGGTGCGTCAGAGTCAGGCACCACCATGTCCTCATTGAATCAACGAGTTCGGCTCGGAAATGCACCATGACAAGCCCGATATATGTAAAGCATACTACGGTGCATGCTTTTTCTAGGGGATCTTGTGTTACATCACCTGTGGTGGGGCAACAGGCTCTATCCACGTCTCACTCGTGGATTTGAGAGCGCGAGCGGTAGTAAAGCATACTACGTTCACTACTGCAGCTACTTATCAGGTTGAATCGTTCACTTCCTATAACGATTATTCCATTTGTCAGCTTCATCCCTGTCAGCTTCTGGATGACGGTCACGCCATCCGACGAACATGTAAGGCAAACCGAAGGAAGGGTCTCCATCTACCGCATCGTGGAGTTCGGAACTCCCACCCAAGCCCCGCTGCATTGGCCCAGTGACAAGCTGTGAGAATTTGGCGACGCGGCGATGCAAATGGTCAAAAAGAAGACATATGAAGACGTCATAAAGTTAAAATACATCGATCATGTGGCATGGAATTCATCTCCGCCGTGGCCACCCAATTCATCTCCAAACAGCCCAATTGAGATCCAATTGGGTCCCTCCAAACGCATTCTATACTACCTTCGACCCACCCCTTCGACCCACCCGGAGCGCCAGGTCTCCGAGCCTCGTGAAGCAAACCGACGGCACCGGGCAAAAACCGACCGGTTCGTCCCCAGCACGGACCAGACATGGTGGCCCCTAGCGTCTCTGGGTGAGGGGCCAAGGTGACTCACAGCCATGGTTGAAACTTGAAACCTTGACATCAAGCTGGTGTCCTTAAATCCAACTAAGTAAGTCTCACCCTAGAGGCAGCCAGAGGTGAAGGCTTATCCTCACCCATTCTTTGGAGACATGGTGGATGAAAAGTGAGGCCCAACACGGTGGCAAAGGGCCCTATGGTTGTCAGCCACGCGGTACAAACGGAGATCTTCCCACACCTTCCCCCAACTCGTGCGGGCGCTAAAACATGCTAAAACCATCCGGGCTTTGAGCCCATCTTGGGAGTATGGTTCAAGGATATGCCATTTCGCATCCGTGCCGTTCAGCTTCAATTCGCATCTGAGGGCCGTCGAGGGATGGGCTCCACAAAGGCTTGGGCTCATTGAGCTCAGGCTTGGTCGAAGCCAAAATCCTGACGATGCAAGTGCAACCTATCCGAAGAAAAACGCATCAAATGGATTCAAATGTCATAATCCAGTCTCCAACTCTATTGACTCTATTGATCAATTCGGTAGTAATCTGCCAAACCTTGCAAAACCAACAGGGGAGCATCGAGTACCGATACCCCTTCACTTCTGCAAAGCCAATAGGCACCACCCACAAGCAACTGCTTTGAACAAGCATCGCGGTGAGCGTGCCATAGGCCAGGTACGTTGGATGATCGCACAACGTTGCCGTGTCGGGATCCGTGGTCGAAGCCAACAGGCTCAGGGAGACGTCCAATGCTAAGGCCTGCGGTGTGTCAAAAGCCAGGGCAACACTTCCCCTGACGTAGACTCTTGATTAGTAGAGCGACCCATAAGGAAAAGGCATGGAAAAGGTTTTACAATCCAAATGGTCCCAAATGGGGTATGTTAATCAAGAGTCACAATCAATTGTGAGTAATTGTGAGTGAACAATTGATGATGGCAACATCTCGCAACCAAAAGAACGGCTAGCGGCTAAGTAGTTGGCTAACTCGGTCTTACTAACAAACACCGGTGGCCCACAGTGGCCGCTAGACCAGTAGTGCTTTGTGAAACAAAGGATTTGTTGTGGGCCCCGGTGACACTGCGCAACGTGCGGTCAGCTTGGGGTGGCCACATCGTCTGGATCTGGATTAGGCAGCCAAATCAAACATAATAGAACCACCAAAGGCCTGTTTCAAAACCAAGGGCCAGGCCACTCCCTGCCTCATCCGCCACCAGCTCGTAAATCTCTTCTCCATTCTCAGTGGTGACTTTCACAAATGCACCTGTTGACAGTGCCGCACGAAAACCCAATCAAGTGGCAACAAGCGTGACATACTATGACAAATACATTGGTTGGACACCTCCCTTGTGAAACACACCCCATATGACAACTCTCACCAAGTGTGACTTTCTGCCCAGCTTACCAAGAAGACGGGGCCCCGCCAGTTCCCAGCCGCATCTGGTCCAAATCGGGCGCCATCAGCGGATGGACATTGACCAGGCGCCTCGCAGGAGGACATCGACCAGGCTGGTGATGGCGAAGGTGGCTGCCAGGGTTCTGTGACTCGCCACCCAGCCTGCGAAGCTGCAAAGGCTCTGTTTCACCTGCAGCGATCGGGCCGTTGGAGCTGAAGTCACATCAAATAGGTTGAGTCAGGTTAGGTGTGCTATTGCACTGCTGAGCAGGTTAGGTGAGAATTGAGAATTGTTTAAAACATTGATATATACACATATTACCTATTGTATATAAACAATTCTTATATATATATATATATCAATTCTTATATAATATACATATACACTCTACATATACCCATCCCTGACGCACGGACGGCAGCTTAGTGCCCAAAGTTTGATGAGTTGCCACTAGACCGAGAGAGAATTGCAGGAGGCGAGTCTCTCCAAAGGGTACACCTATCAATGACTTTAAGAACTTCATCAAAAAGGCACTTAAGGCCAGGGGGGTGAATGAAAGCTAGCCACTGGTGGGTGCGGTTTTTTGCCCTGACAGAAAAAGGAGTGCGATACTGAGCAGGGTGGCAGCCTCCAAACAAGAGCTTGGGGTGGTATCCACTGAGGTATTCCTTGATGAGATCTTTGATGCAGCTGCTCGATTGGAAGATGAGCATGAGGAGCTTCTGGTTCTGAGGGGAAGTGGGGTCCATCGGGGCTTGGGTGGATGGCCATGAGGATTGAACACCATGAGAAGCCCATGAGATTTAGTTGGGTTTTGCTTTTCATGGCATGGGCTCATGTGATTTCACCATCAGGTGCTTTATGGGAAACCATGGGAGCCATGGTCATTTGCTCAGATTGCAATGTTGGCATTACTGATGATGAGGGGTAATTGGAGGCAGGGCATGGTGATGGCACTTTGGGAGAGTGTTCAGGGATTATGTCAACCCACCGCTTGAGGTGCGTGGCCTCAAACCCAATAGGCCCACTCCGAATGTTTTTTCCCCAGCTAGTCTCACTATACATACTGAAGTCTACATTGCGATTCCAATCAATTTCATGAACACTTAAAACATCTCAAAAGTTGCAAATGTCCTGCCCTGGAACGGGAGTGTCCCCTCTCGAGATTCTAAATGGGCAGCATGCCATGGCAACCCTCGGGTTTTGCGCCTCTAAAGGACATCGTCTCCTCAAAGCTCCCAGCAGCAAGAGCCGCGCTGAGTAACACCTCTCGAGCGCTGCCTCTCGCAGCGGCTCTCCTCTCGGACCGTGCTGCGTCTCGCTGGGCCGTGCTGCCGGGGACAGGCTACCTCAGCCGCAGTGCTGCACCGCAACGCTCCACCGGTGAACCTTCGTCCAAGGAGCTCTGGACTCCGAACATCGTCTTCCAATGGTGTGATTTCTAGGGCCGGTTGACCCAACAGCCACTGTGGATCCATGAAGGGGTCACAACAAAGAGGAAGTACAGCATTCAATCTGTGACTCAATATTAATTTAATATTACATATCAATCATATCATCATATCATTTGGAAACTGAGTCGCTCTAGCGGTAGTCATGCCGCACAGTAATCAGTTCTGGGCTCAAGCTTGCAAACCACTGAAATTGGTCCCATCGTTGCTGCACCTTGACTCCATTATATGAAACCCTCTATATCAAAACTATATAACTACAGTAACTGCAAATAGACGTGTATATGCAATATTATAGTATATTACAATATATTTTTTCAATTCTCTACATAACAATGAATCAAACAATTCTTGAGGGAAAAAACCGTCAGCACGTCCCCACTTCCCCCTGTCTTGACCTCCCGAAATCGGCCTTCATCTCGTTCCGGACGCAGCCCCCCTTTTCTTGCTCCACGTGGCTGGCCAAGAGGTGCGGCGACCCTTCAGCCTCCAGCTCCTCGGGTTCACAGGATCCGGTCCCTTTTTGGGGGGATCTTCAAGGGCAGTAGTATTGTGCCAACAAGCAACCATAAGGAATCCAAGCAATATATTTCGACTAGACTATAGAACGGTCAGATCTGTTTCGAGTCTTTGATCCTCTTTGGGCCTCAAAAACCAATGCCTTCCTTGGACATGGTGGCCTCCCTCATCCTCCCTCTGGCGGCCACGTGCCCCGTGCGGCGGCTCGTCCTGCGCCCACCAGGCGTCGAACTCCTGCTGCACGGCCTCGGCCAGCTCGGGGAAGCTGCTGGGGGGGCGCCCCTTGGCGCCGCTGATGATGAGCGTGACCTGAGGCGCTTGGGCGTCCGAGCGCAGGGAGCCTGCATGGGGAGGGGATGGTTCAGCTGGAGAACCATCCGAGAAGATCTTGAATGCTTTCTAGGTCTTTCCAGTGATATCAGTGATTTCACAGTGTGAAAATGGTTCTATATGTCACATTGACGAACGTACATCTCATTATGTTAACGTTGAATAACGTTGATAATTGCTCGCAAGGTTACAGGTCGACCTGAATGTGCAAAACTGCAAAGGTGATTTAAAGAGTTAGCAGGACTCGTTGATCTACGAGATGGTCATTGAATAGTCTCTGACTGCCTCTGCTTTTCTTCCACTTCTTGAAATGTCTTCTTCCAGCTTGCCTGGTCAGAGACCCACGCTTGCCAGGCGATGCCTTCGTGCAACTTGGAGCTGCTCTTCCCGCCACGTCGGTACTCGCTGGCACCCTCTTTGGTCCGCCGAAGCACCACGAGCAGCATCACCACCAGCGACAAAAACCACGCCACATTCGCCAGCTCTGGTTGACTGCCTCTCTCTTCGCCATTGCTTTCCTCATCATTTTGTGCTGAAGAAGTGGAAGATGGTCAAGGCTAAAAAGAAAGCAAAAGCCGAGATTGGCCTACTAGAATTGCCCATGCGACACAAGTGTAAAGGAGTGTAAAAGCTTTGGTCCTAGCAATGTCGGAGAATTTGAGGTGAGGCAGCCCTATGTTATAACATGTGCTCCACTCACTTTATTGGAACAACCAACTAAATGTGAAGAGAAATCTGACACCAATTCGACACCAGCTACAAGCACGCACTTGGAGTTCCCAATCCAAAAGAAGCTATACCATGAAGCCAAATGGGATACTTTGTAGGGGGATCTACTTGTCTATCTATCTGTTTGGGCGATATAACCGTTTCAATCCCTCAACTGGCGCAGCCTGGACCTCCATCACCTCCCACCCGCTCCGCCTCGTCTGCGTCACTGGATGAAGCATGGGTGACTGAGCCCGCTCGGCGGTGCAGGGCATGCAGCTTGAGCGCCACCTGGGGCCAATGAGGCCGTAAGACCTGAAGAATTCCTGGAGCCAAGAGGTGCATCACCTGAGGTGAACAGGGCATTGGCACACAAGGCAGGGCTTTTTGGAAGGCAAAGATCTCAATTTTGAGTGTTCGATTCTCACTGCTGTGCTTGGGGCCGAACATACTATGCCATATTGGGTTGCACTTTCCTGTGGTGCCTGAGATAGGGCCACGTGATCAACATGTGATCTGTGGAGGGCTTTCATGTGGTAGTGACTGGTGGTGTCTTCGTCTGGGAATCATGATTCGACTCGAGCAGTTCAAACGAGAAAGAGTCAAGGAACCAAGTACGCTCCCCGCATGGGATCGTGTCACAATTTCGTCGTCCCAAAAGCTCCTTTAAACAGGGACTATGCACAGGCTTACCCAATACTGGAGGTGGTTTGGGAGTCAAAGTGGTATCCAAAAAAGTTCCATGATTCCATACAGGGTGCAGTAAGGCGAGTAAGGTGTGTGTTTCGACATGGGCGCAGCTGAGCAACTTCGACATTCTGAAAGAGCTCACTGAAACACTCCTGAAAACGTTCAGGTCGTGGAGAATCCCTAATTACAACCTACGAGCATTATAAATGCAAACATTCATCTGCTTGTCGTTTGCTGCTGCACAACGTGGACACCTGGAATGATGGATGCTATGCGTATATATATATATATATCCATAGGTAGGTAGGTAGGTAGGTAGGCAGGCAGGCAGGCAGGCAGGTAGGTAGGTAGGTAGGTACGAGTAGGTAGATAGATATAGATAGATAGATGTTCAGATCAATTCATTGGATGAGATCGCTCCAGGCTCATCACATCTTTTCAGGAACTCCCAGGCTCAAGGGTCTTTTTGACGACCGTGGCATCTGGAACACATGGCCCCGGTGTGGGATGACCCGGTTCCTCCAAGGAGGCAGGGAACTTCCATGAATGATTCGTGTAAACTTGGATGAGCTGTCCAGGAAGCCGAGGCAAAACACATATCTTCAGGTTTGGGGGATTCAAGCAGGAACCGGGCAAAACCGGTATCATCCGCAAAACCACCAGTCAGGTCAATTCAGGTTGGGTATGAGAACGGTTTCTCCATCGAGAACTCCTGGGCGTTCACTCCGGCACAGGATCGGCCAAAGCACTCAGATGCACTCGGGGCAACACGCTCCGTCACTCCCCGGAGTGGGGAAGTGGGCTAAATGCTGCATGTTGGATCAAATCAGTGGCCAACACTCCCACAGCCAGGACAACTGCCAGGACACACTTATATACGCAGGAGTGAGCACGCCCAAGAAATCTGGCGATGAATACGATTCAGAGGTGTACCCGTACATGGTGTACCCACCCATTCAAGCAAGAACAACACCAGGATGTGCGGCTCCTGTAGCACCAGTAATGGCACTTCTTTGGAAGAGCGCCGCTCCCATAAGGCCAGTGCCCTCCTCACACTCTGAGCCGATGGTCATCTTCCAAGACGTCTTCAATGGAGATCCACATGTGGGTAGTTTATTGGAGACCCCCTTCAGAATTGCTGGATATGCATTGTGTTTGCTAGGGCGACACCCCCAGCAGCCGAACCTCCAAACAAAACAAGAATCGAGCAGCGGACCAAGCCATACCAAACCCATTGGGGCAGGGGACTAAATTGTTATTGAACATACAAGCATAATCAATCGTGAAAGGGCTCGGTGCATGTGTGGCATGCAGCTACCGACGTTCTATAACACAAACTCTTCTGCTCGTGTTTGGTATCCATTCCCTTTCTTTCCAGTAGATCAGCGTGAAGCTGGCGTTATGAAATACAGTAGAGCGACCACCGCACCGTCCCATGAGGGGAGCGGTGACGGCGGAAGGCCCAGTCGAACACCGTCACGACGCTGGCGACACGACAAGCTCCTAAGACCTTCCTCTCCAATCTGTGACCACCTCCCTGACAGCATGCGGCGGCCCGCGCCCAAAAGGACACAGTCGACGTCCTCGGAAAGGGGAGAAAGGCCTGTTGGTCCAATCCTGTGGAGCCATGCTTTGCACTCTGCTTTGCCTATTGCAAATGGTTGACTAAGAATAGTCTGGGATCAAATTTCAAGGATAGTCTGGGCTGTCCAATGTTCAGCCTGAAACGGTTGTTGTTCCCTGTTCAAAGGAGAAGAAACATGGGCGCATGGCACAACATATCACAACATCGATAAACAACTGGCAGTAGAGCAGTAGATGCTGAGCAACATGCAGAAAATGCAGAAACACGCATTGCAGATTCATAGGCCAGTTCTAGATGGGGATGTATCAACATGTATCAAAAGTCAAGTGGGGTGGAATGAATCTTTGTACCAACCCCAATTGGGGTGCAAAACTAAATATATGAACTGAACTGACCCAAACTCCTGTTCAGAGGGACCCGGCCGCTAAGAAGTGCAGCACACCATCCAAACCATCCAAGGCTGAGTTTCAAAATCCAAGGTGTCATAAGTCATAAGACCTGTGAAGAGCGAGTAGTAACGGTAATAGGATGTAATAAGATTCCATAAGATTCCTCCTCAACCATCAAGATTGAGTCTTCAAGACGACCAAATGTGGCAGCTATAAGAGCCATCCTCTTGGCCTAAAGACCGCTTGAGAGCATTCTATGGGTCCATAAAGAGGAACTGTAAGCCAAAAACCAGGCGTGTGATTGAACATGCTTAAACCAAACTGGGTCCGATGAAGAGTCTCAAGTGTTTTCTTAAGACCACACGGACACTTCCTCTAGCCTTCTGATGGCACAGCTGGCAACTGATTGAGTCCAAGTATCGATGTCCAACGCCCAGCAAAGCAAGGGCAGCGACTCATCCCAGTCTTCGGCAACGGAAACGCCACGGCAAAGAGCCAACTGCAAGGTGTCCTCAACTGCAATTGGTAGTTCCGTTGTATTTGTTTGAATATTTTCGAGTACCACACCAGTAGCCCTCCAAGACCATGAAAAGGAAAAATTGACTGCTCCCTCCAAACCATTCGCCCGTGAACGTTTCTCTTGGCCACTAGCAACTAGCCTCTTTCGATGCAAAGACTCCGCCAACGAGGTGCCCAAGGCAGTCAAAGTGAACACTTCAGCAGCTGTCCTCGGCTGTACTGGGACACCCGGCGGCTGGTGAAGAAGCATGAGATGGGTGATGATGGGTTTTTCCATTAGAGTAGGGAGATCTCCCAGTTCAACCCGCTGGAAGAAGAAAAATAGATGAAAATAGACCAGTCGACCATATAGTCGACCCATTCGGGCTAGTGGCCTCCCTATCTCACACACACACACACACATTTGTCTTTTTCCAGCCAGGCCCCCAGCCACAAAAACAGGCAGCCACGTAGCTGAAAGTCTGAAAAGTTCTGACTCGGACCTAGTGTCCAAAGGATTGCCAGTGACCGACCTCCGCTCTTGGCATCAGACCTCAGTCCAACTTCAGAACCAGCTGCGAAACCAGCTGCGAGACGCGACTTCGAGCCTCCAACCACCGGATCTGAAGACCTTCTCGTCAGGTCTTTGGTATGAAAAACTAGGTTCATCAAGCACCTGTCTCCTTGAGCTCCAACGCACGGAGCTAGGTCTCCGAAACCCCTTCAGAAGCGCTCGGCTCCAAGACTGGGTCATGTTCACCTCTATGATATACTATTTCATAAAGCACGGGGGGCTCCGGTACAAGGGCACCAGTCACAAATGCCAGGGCTCCGACACCCTTCTTTATCTGGAGGTCATCTGCCTCAACCCCTGCCGGACGTTGCAACATGTTCATGTTCCTCTATGCACCAGTGGTGGCATGCGGGGTTACGAATTTCCTCATCCCGTCTTCAGCCGGCGGCCAGGATTGATGAGCACAAGCGCCCAGCACACGCCCGGGCATCCGCAGCTCTTGCACCACCTGGAGAACACCCGTAGGCCACACAGGGCTCTGGGCATACCAAGTGCACACCAAAAGCAAGCTAGCTAACCTACGGTGAAACTTTCAATTTTTCGCAAGCCAAAAGTGAAACTTTCATACCATAGGTACCCACCATTCCAAACCCTCAGTACTTGGGGGTATAAACTTTCAACGTTTCACATGTTTCGCCTCTCCTTTTCGAGCTCTTTCTTGCGACCGCGAGCTCCGCTCCGGTCGCTCGCGCTCCTGGTTCGAGCTCCGCGCGCGCAGCTCCGCCGGGCCGGGCTTGGCGGTGGTGACCAGCACCACCGAGCGATCGGGGCCATCGTGCAGCACCTGGGAGGAAACGTCAAGCCGGAGACTGGAGGGAGAACACATGAGAAAAGCCGCAGGAAGTGTAAGTTACTGCAATGTTGCAAGATGTTGCAAGTATCCATTTTTAGATGGATCAATGGATGAGATGGAGGAATGGGAAAGATCGGAAAGAAGGAACATGAAGGAAGCAAGAAACTGTTGGCAGCTTATGTGTTGGGCAATTATTCGCTTGTGGATGAGTATGCTGGAAGCAATTTGCGATATATAACTCATGTTTGAACTTTGGTGTCGTTCTCCGTCGTTCGCCTGTCAAGCTGCATTGGAAAGTTATATAAGTCCGATGAATACGTGGAACCCATCCTGGAACGTCTGGAGCGATTTTCCCATCAAACTGTTTCAGGTAGGTTTTCCAGAAAGAAAGTACAGTTGACGATGATACACAGAAAGGGAGGCAGGCCACTGCCACTGTTACAAGTACGTAGGCTGCAGCTGCTGCGTCGCCTGTGATTATGACGATGTATGACATCCCGTATGTAAAAAAACAACAACTTACAGTAAGATCCCTTAAGTTGCTTAAGCACTTAAGCACTTTAAGTGAAACAATGTCTTATGTCTTTACAGGCAACGCGTGACGTGTAGTTAATTTGATTCGGAAGAATGGGGCGATTGAGTGTCTGTGTTCCAATCCCACGGCAGCAAAATACTCACTGCAAGTCTCTGTGCTGCAACAGCTGGGATCACATACATGTGTTGGCTGGATTTAAACATGTCATTCGACGTAATTGGCCCTACTCAAAAGGGTAGCCTCTGTCTGCTCAGGACAAGGTAGATTCACTTCCCGGAAAAGATCCTCATGCATACGGGAAGCTCAAAATCATCCCAATAGCAAAAGCAAGCTCACCATTTCCACACCCACAGCATGTTTGTGAATGCCCCGAATCCTGGCATTGTCCTTTTGCAATTCTCCCTTCAGGTCAGCATGGATGAGTTGGATCTTCCTCCACGATCTTCCTTCTTCCTTCATGAAAATATCCTGCAACACGGCACTGGCTTCGAACGTTTCAACCAATCCGGTCAGACGCTCCCCGCCCCCTCCGCTCACTGAGGTCCCACCGTCAGAAACATGTTGCCACCCAGCAGGACCACCAAATCCACAAGCCTTCGTCCAGCACCCGAAACCCGCGCGACCAAACGGCGTCACGCGGGACGCCGAAGGATGGGAAGAGGGTCGGTTCACACCGGACCGCTGAAGACCTGTGGACCTTGGGCACCCGAAAACACCGTCGGTTTGGTCGACCGGACTGGTAGACCGGGAACCGGACAAAAATATGGTCTTTTCCCTGGCAGGGTGTTGAGGATTCACCCAGTTCGTGGCAAAAAAAGATTAAAAAAAAAACATGATCACCCTAAAAACATCTACAAACTAAAGCCTTACGGTGTTTGACTTCCCACATCTCTCCACTAGGTGCTGCGGGGTTCGTCCGGATGAGCAATTCGCACTAGTACTATCAAGAGGACCTTCGACCTCAAACAATCCAAAGGGGGCCGTCCATGCCGTCCTCAACTTTGCAGGAACGCCATCTTCGTACAGTACTGGTTTGCTGATCGAAGAGCTGATGAACAAATTACTGCTCTCCAAAAACACCTGAGAAAAGGAAAACGGATACTTTTTGAGCATTTGTCTGACGTGGTGATGATGCTAGTGATGCAATACCATGCAATACCTCACCACCCGCAGGCATCCGCAGGCCACGAACTTCCCTGCTTTCCCACGCCACCGAAAGACTCACTTCGTTCGCATAAACTATCTTCAAACTTCAGCCTGGCCTATTGGCTGGTTTTCATATGACGCTCCATCACGGAAGTTTGACAATTAAATACATACATTGACCCCTAAAGGACCCCCAATCGCATCTACAACCATCCACCCCGCCCTGGTGACCACCACAGACTGCTCATTTCGCACCTGCGCTGTCCAGCGCTGCTGGGGGGCGCCACATCGATCGGGAGTTCGACCCGTGCCAAGGGATCCTGAGACGAGACGGCTCCAGAAGCAGTGCAAAGCACGGGGTAACGGGGTAGTCACAAGTCCGTCCTCTTTTCCAAACCCGTTGGTGGGTCGAAATGATATGTAAATAGCCCAGTCACAGTAACGGTGATTACGCCTAGGTTGCTTAGGCCTTTCTGAAAAAATAGATTAAGGGTTGTGATACGAATTATCTGAATTTATCTGATACTAATTGCTTGGGTGTCCCAACTGTTACAGCTCATCGGTCACCGCCCACACCCCTTCGACACCGCGGCCGAGCCGCCGGCGGGAGGAGGGGGCTGCTCGTTCGGTCAAGCTGAAGCGAGTTGGCGGCTCGGAACCGGGAAAAGGAGTCGCCAGGAGGGGATTCACATGGATTGACCCATATAGCAAAAGACCAAAAATATCTCATATAGCACAACCATCTATCACCATCAGCCTCCAAACACGGATGAAACATGCTGAGTCTGACATGTTGCTTCGAGCGGCCTGTCTTCGCGCTAAAGCTAACCATCGTGAGCTTCACCGTACCCGGGACCCGGTTTAATCGTGAGCTTTATTTTTTTGTGCCCCGAACGCCCCGAATCGCAAAGCAAAATCGTCGGGTGATGTGGCACTTGCAGGTGTCTGGCCAAGAAAATGGACATCTGGGGCAGGAGCCCTTGGCCAAGGCGTGGGATACAATACTCCACTGATCGCACAAATGCGCACCGCTGATCCATACTGCCCTTTCCAGCGGAGGATCTTCTGGAAAAGATGGCAAGGACAATAAGAGGCACAGGCCTTGCTCTTGACCCTGCCCGTCCTGGAGCCAAGCCAGTGAAGTGGGACAGTCTCGGAATAGACTTCAAGTACCAAAGGTGTGGTTAATTCACACCCCTGAGGTAACTCCTTTGGGTGCTATTCATAATGATACCCCAACAGGGGAATCTGATATTTATTAACTATCTGAAACATGTTGGTTTGGTCATGTTTGGCCAAACTGCCTACATTTCACCCTGGGCGAAGCAGCAAAGTGTGGTCCTCTGCACCACCCGAAGTCTCGCCATTGGAAGTGGCAGGCAGAACTGGTCACTTCAGGGTTCCACCCTCCACTTCAAACAGTCCGGGTACATTCAGGGTATATATAACCGTGGGATTGGCAAAGAGAAAAGTGTGGATACAACTTGAAGATACTTGAAGAGTGACATAAAAGACGTATGATGAGACCACATCAGACTCCCTTCTGCACTGCACACCAAATCCTGCTGCAGGGTGTCCCATACCCACCCAGTCCCCAGGGGAGGATATCCTCTCATCCACCTCTCCTCCTCATCCACAAGCATTCCCAGCACCTCGTTCTTCCCCTCCGGCGTCGCCCGGCGGACCACCAGCAACAGGTGGGGCGCGACTCGGCCATGCAATGGCTCCATCTCAAAGTGCTCCTCACATGGATCCGAAGAACCCTGGAAGCGCATCGTGCGCGGTGTACTGCAGGGGTTGGAAGGTGGGAACGGGTGCACGTTTAATTTTTGATTTTTTTTTGCATTTTGTTCGGATTTTTTTCTCAAACACATTGGAATAGAGCAGGTTTCTTATTAGCACCTAGCTAATTACAAAAAGAAACTAAAAGAAATCCGGAAAAAAACGCCCCTCCGGTGGGAACTTCACCTCCAAACAGGGAACTCGAATGACACTGAAGGCTCCGGTGCGAGTGGAGACCGCTTCATGGGCTTGGTTCAAGCCACGCCGAAGTGCCTGCCCCGACTGCCACCCAAGGCGCTCCAGAAGCGCAGGGTAAGGCTTGGCCATCCGTGATGTTCCACCGTAGCCTAAGAGGCGGCATGTTCCTTCGGCTCCCGGGAGCTTCACCGACCGAATCGGAGCGGTTGGGTTCGTGGGGTATAGAGACTCCGCAACCCCCCTAAAGAGTTCGGTGAATCCCCTTCAGTGCAGGTGATCCTCGTTTCGCGAAGGGCCACGGTGGATGGGCGTGCGTGCACGTGCGGCAATTCAACGGGTGTTCTTGAAGTAGCTTTGGAGCCCGTTCGCTGACAAGCATTCGAGCATCAAAAAGTAGGCTGAGCATGGTCCATGGTTGAGCTGTTTTTTCTAGTGGAAAAACCTTTGTAATTATAAGAGAATGGTGGCCTCATAAACAAAAAATATTAAAAAAAAGAAAACACACATGTTCAATTGTATGGTCGTCCCGTGGTAGGGGCCATCAATTAGCTTTCGGAGGTGGAGCCACTCGAACAGTGGAAAACGACACCGTCTGTCGTTTTGAGCGAACCCCCACACCAAAACCGTACAGCATCTCAACAAAAAAACAAGCCAAACATAAGCTACCTAATGTACAGGTAGACTCTTGATTGATACCATGGGTGGCTTTATTAATCAAGAGTTTTTGTGAGTGTTTGTTTGTGTTTATGTATTTCTATAGTTATATTATATACCCACCCGCTCACATCCAAGTCAACTACACTGATCCTGTGTGTGTTTGCACCAAAATCTCAACGCTGAAGCTCTGTGCCACGGACGAATTCGGTGGGGTACTCCCGAGATTGGTCCAAGGTACTGTGACTGTGGCGGTCCCGATCTCTCTTCAGCGAGAAGCAGCTTCCAATTCTTGGGCTCCGCCGTGGTCTCCTCATGTGCGCCATTCGATGATTCAGGTGATCAAACCATCTGATCATCCGCGGGTCTCAAAATCAGTTGAAACATGTTGCAGCATCGAAATTCGTCATGTTTTTGAAGGAGTTGGCCCCATTTACGGGGCCCACTCTTCGCATCAAACGGGCCTTTTCGGCCACAAGGGTTCTTCTACAAGTTCGGTCGGTTCCAGCATATTGTTGGGACCACTGAAGTCAATCAAGTTCCGGTCCGCCATGCGTCATGTTTAGACAGTCTTGGGTCGTTGGCTCCCAACATTTTCCGTGGTTCTCATTTCTGGAGACACACCTGGTCCCCTGACATACCAACTGGAGAAGCCCAGGCATTGCATTCGGTTACCCCGGACATACCAACCGGATGTACTACACGAATCCAATGAAGATTCACATCTAAACCTTCCTAATGCACCAAGAGTCAATCAACAGCCATTCTTGAGAGTGATAGCGGCAAAGCCTCGGCTGAGATGTCAGGTGATTGTCAGGCCGAGCCTCGCGAGAATTTTGCCCATCGGCAACGGCCCGAAGGGCTTCCCAACAACACCCCTGTTGAGACCCACCTCCATTCTCCCAAATGTATCCAAATGTCACTTCTAAGAGTCGCATTGGGCAAAGGGCACGAACAAAACCGCTTCAAATGCTGCCTCCTCCGTGCCGTATTTAAGAAACAGTAACATGTAAATCTCACGGCTGTCTTAGCTGCTTCGGGCATGGGTGACAAATCCACGGAATCTGAGCCACTTTCAACGTTCAATCCCAAACAACAGCCGAGGCAAAAACTTGCCAAAACGTCCACATACCTTCGCTTCGAAGGTGCTTAAAGACACTGTTATGGGTCCATTCGGAGGGTCCAGGTACCTTCTGAGAATTTCTGAGAAGGTACTTGGCTCCCTAGGGAGTGGTCGTGGTGATGCGTGTTTCTGAGATCAGGCGATCGGATCGGGATCCTTCGCCCTCCTATCAAGCATGGCTGCTTCGATCCCGCAATGCCTTACAAAAAGAGGGGCGTGACGTCGGGCATATCCAAACTACCAATGGGTGATGATGTTCTCTCAAAAGAAGGAAATCCTCTGTTTACCCAGCTGTTCCTGGTCTCGAGGTCCGGTCCCTACTGCGCTTCGGTGTTCTTCACCGGGCCCCAGTGGCTGCAACAAAACGATCGGCGACAAGGAGAAGGTACCTGGGCCGGACGTCAGGGTCCAATCCCACTGCAAGCCTCTGAGGTGGAAAATGGGACGGGTAGATATGTTTGTCCAATTACATCGGGGAGGCGGCGGTTGGCTTCTGGGGCTCAATGTGTAGGTAAATAGTTGTACAGTAAATATTCACTAGTATATCCCAAACACTCCATGTATGCCATATTTACATACATTGACCCCTGAAACCACCCCAATGTAGTATATGGCATACATGGAGTGTCCGGGTATAGTCTTACGATATGGAGTGTCTGGGAATGGACCATGATGGAAAACCATCAGGGTCACCTGGAGGTCGGAGCCGGAGGCTGGCCACCCGGACGAGGTCTCACACTTGGGATGTTTTGGTGCCCCGCCCTCTAAGCACCCCGCAAGCTTAGAGGAACGACAGCCAGCCACTTGTGCAAGGAAGATGACCTGGTTCTCGTTGTCTGCGTGGAAGTGGTCGTTTGGAAGGGAGGCAGCCCTGCCCATCTACCCGGCCCTTCCTGAAGGGAAGGACTTTCTTCGTCAAGTCTCGCTGAGATTTCTGTCTGCCGTGCGGCGCAACTGGGTTTGGGTGGCCACATCCATGATGACCAAGCGCCCTGCCAAGGAGCCTTGGCAGGAGAAGTTGCAGGAGTGCCACATCACCCAGGCCTTACATGCCAACCTGCAAGGTGCCATGGCAACCTGCAAGGTGCCATGACTCACATCAGAAAACGGTCTCTTCTTGTTTTGGTCCTGGGAAGTAAGCCCCAGTGGCCATCTATTGAGTACATCATGGAAAGTTGACAGCCAGTTCAATCATCCAAAGTCCACTTCACTTACAGTAGCAAAAAGTTTCTGGCCTCATTCTCACCACTCCCTGTTTGCCTGGACTGTCCAAGGGGCCCAGTATCAAGCAATGTCGTGGTGACGCTCCATCCATCCCACTAGGCCACCAGCGCATGGAGGTGATCATGTCGCCCTGGCTGGTGGACGTCGTCCGTGGATCTCCCTTTCAGCATCCTTGCAATATCATGAGGAGAGCTTGTCATGAAACTTCTTCATGATGGGGTATGACACCATTTTTCCATCACAAGGACCCCTTTGTAGGTGGGTGATTTGAAAAGAGACTCCACGCACCCCACTCGGAACAAGTCCTGATGAGTCCTGCACCTAAAGGTGCAGTCGATGTGGAGTCCACCACAGTTTCTGACCTGAGAAACCTCAACATGAACCGATACACGGACAGCATTGTATCAACCGGTTTTTCTCTGCAGCATCAGCGTTTGATGTTCTTGATGTAGCTGCGCTTATATATAGCTGCCACATTGGACTGGATGGGCCATTGGTGTTCTGGATGCTGGGATGACTGAACACCAACATTCATCATGTCATGCGCGGCGGTCAAAACACATTACATTTGGCCTAATTATGTCGTGGGCACTGTCGTGGGGGCATATGATGAAGATACAGTATCTTGCCTACTCATGAAGACGCTTTGCTTACGCAAACTGAACTCGCTGAACTACTCTTACTCATCACGTCCCAACAAAACGGTTCGACCGTTCACTTGCTTGCGCAAGTGGCAACAACAAGGCACTGCAAATCCTGTCATCTTCAGAAGTTTGGCGGGAAGTCTTAGCAACATCACAGGCGCCCAGTTTGAGCGTCCTACCCATCCATCCATCCATCCATCCATCCATCCGTTGATTTCCACAGGCCTCCTGTATCGCTGGCACGGCGAAGCGCTGGCACAGCTTTTCGCTGGGGCCACTGGCTCCACCAAAGAAGTCCAGAAGCTCACCTTCGGACAGAGTTCTGGGCGGACGGCCGAAATCGGAAGTGAGTTCCGCATGCGGAACGAGTGACCGAAGGAATCCTTCAGGACCGATGAAGAAACAGGAGTTGCAGAACGATGAAATGAAATGGATTCTTGAAGATGCACTCTCATCCTCCAAACATGTTGCTGCTTCCCAGTCAAAACACTCCATGTGTCGAATATCTATGGCTAATTTCATTGACCCCTGAAACCAAGCACTCCAAGTGGTTGGTCAAGTCCTGCCAGTCCCATAGAGTGTTCTGTTGTTTTTTTCTTAACCATTTCAGCCGATATATAGATACGCGTTGCCACGTGTCGCCCCGTGTCTCCGTTGCGTCGCCAAGCCGCTGCCAAGTCCTAAGGAGCTCCAGGCCGCTGCCATTGAGGACAAGGGGCCCATAGGGCTCTCCTCGTGTGTCCGAGGAACCCGGGTGGTCCATTCGTTCCGAGGAAGAAACACCGATGGAAGTTGAGGAACTGGGCGGTGGAACGCCTCACTTGCAACAAGAACTGAAGTTGCAAATCCAATTCGAGGTCATGGTTGCACCCCAAAAACGCTATATAGTGCACAAGCACACCCCTGCCCTCCACTAACCACCACTTTGGAACTACCGGTCGGTTTTTTGCCAAGCTGCCAAATCTGCACAAAGGTTTTGTGTACGACTGCTGCAGTGCAAAGAGGCCAATAATAAGTCGTGATCAACAAGCAGGCACTTAGCTAGGCAGAAAGAATATGATACAATCCAGTCCAAGGCCCAAGTGACACCTACTATACTACAGGCATAGGTAAGTAATGGTTGTATCACATCCGCAGCTTGGTGGACATCCCCTGTCCTCACTCGATCTCTTCTCCAGCTCCCGCCGCAAATGCTCGGACAAATGCTCTGGTGCTTCCGCCAACCTCAGAGGAATCACGAATGATCCAAGAGATGGCCCGACGAGCGCGGCCAAATGCCATATTTGCGGTCATTTTGTTTGGAAGAACATGTTGAAGACAATTAGTGTGGACTTCCAAAACCACTCTGACATGGTCACATTTGATCACACGTCGGACTGCTGTCGACCGGAGCTCCAAATTCAAGATCGCATTGCCGATGCTTTTTCTCAAAAGGGTTTCATCCTTCTACCTCTAAGGGCACAGTGAAGCAGTGAAACAGCTCTATGCACCTTCATTGTCTCACGCAATGTCGCTAGATCATGCTAGATCCTCTTCACTGTAGCCTCCTGAACTGGGAATTCATCAGCACACATACAGTGCAAGCTGCTTGGCGCAGCAAGTGCTGTAGATTTCGCCGCTAAGCAGGGCCAACCAGTATACTTCAGTGCTTGATGGAGTGCACCAGTTGAACACATGTTTGTACATACAGTAATTGCTCTGTTTGATCTCTAGTCTTGTAACTTTCTTGAGAAGCGGCTTGCTTGTATTGTTTTTCGTTTCCTTATGTGTTGATTTGTTCAATTTCAATGCCGGGTATAGAGGCCGTGTGGGCACCAACGTTGATCAAAGTATGAATCGCCGGGAGCTCTGATCTCTGGTTGGCTACAACATCCTGGACTCCTATATACAGATCTATATTTAAATTGACAGATATATACAGTAAATATCCTTCGGCCCGAAAACACCATGAAGAAGAGCCAATGTCTTTTTGATTCTTTGTCCATGGTGTTCTCACCAAGCTGCCGGCTTGTGTTGGGAGCCCGTGTAGTAGTGGGAGTCGGGGAAACATGTGGGCGTTGCAAGCCATATCAACAAGATTCAACAAGCGTCACGTGTCACAAGCATCATGGGAACATCCGGCAAGGTGCAACAGTTCCAAGAGGGGCACCACCACAATGATCGCCTCAAGGATGCGTGGCTTTGGAACATTGTTTTGACGTCCCCATCTAAGATTCGGTGTTTTTAGCATTTGGGTTGGGGCAGGGAAGCATGGAAGGCGATGGAAAAAGCTCTCAGTAGCTTCTTGTTCCTAGTGGTAAGGCCAGGAGCCCCGAACGTAGCGTCCGAACGCTCCGTTCGTAGCGATGCCCGAAATGCATCGAAATGCTCCGTTCGTAGCTTCTTGTTCGAAGCATGGCCGTGGAATCCCATGGAATCCCATGCTGGGAGGGTGCGGTATTAGGATGTATTAGGCTCAGCCACTTCAAAACTATTTGATACGCTAAAATGGCTAGCTGGTGACATGACATGATCTGGTACAAGTAAGACATTCAAAGATCATCAAACATCTTTATATAACAGGCCATCCCCCCCAAAAAAAGAACTTACAGCACATGCAAATCCGCTAATGCTACTTTTGGGCACATGGAAACCAGGATGAACCCTGAAATCCCTGAAAATGAGCCTATAACTCGAAACAGTCTCGTGAAGAACATCGATGAAACTCCTCATTCATCTCATTCTATCTTGGGGTCCTTTCAGTCGTTTTCTGCGTTCATTCGAGCCCGCTGGTCCTTTTCGGCTGCTATTTTCTTGTCCAATCCAATGTCCCGCCATGCGCACCACCTCGAGTGTAAACTCGCCCACCTCGCAAGCCACGGCCAGGAAGAGACCCTTCTCCGACAGGTCTAACGCACTCATCCGCTGATCCTCCAGCGGCACGGGCCACACCACCTGGCGCGGAGCGCAGTGAGCGCACGGAACGCCCCACCGTGTCCGAGAAGCGCACGGGCGGGGCGAGCTGGGGACGGCTGGCCCCTTTAGGCTGCCCACAGATCAATTGTTTGATGATGATGATGATGATGATGATGGTGAGAAGGAGGAACATTGAGATGGATTGAGAAATCGTGAGCCCTCATTCCAAGCGTCTTCGACACTGTGAAGCAATCCTTTTCGGGATCTCAGTGGAGCTGTGGAACCACTTTTTCCGCAATTTGTGAGACCCAAAGTCTGGGTCAGGCACACTGATAGGCCAAAAGGCCTGAGCGCGCCACTCCCAGGAGTCATGGGTGACTGCAGTCCGATGTCTCTGATGTCAATGACTTGTTTCAACTCTGACTCAGTTGAGTTTGCCCGGGTCATACTCTTACTAATGTTGACACAGGATTAAGTAACCACCCCCTATTAATCAATCCCAGCTCGACCCACCCAATACTAAACTAATTGAACACCTAGATTTCCACCTTGGCATCACCCTAATATGTTTTCTCATGTTTTCTCTACCAGAAACCTCCCCCTATTATATAATCAATCCCAGCTCCCCCAGAAAAAAAATATATAATTGGTTTTATCCACTCTTTTCTCATGCCATCTCTTTGAGTGATAGCATTCTGATTTTTTCCAATGCTGATCCTGTCATCCATCAATCATTCTGATCATCTGCTTGCTCTTCTCATCTTTCCCAGCAGCAATCTGTGCAGCCAATGTATACTCATATGACTCATATGGGATCTTCCTGCCCAGCCTCTTCCCCTCCTTCCTCATCCAATAGGCTGTGCATTTCCATGGTTCAATCTCTCATGACACAGAATCCCATCAACCATCATCCATGATCAGGTCCAGGCCCTCATCTCATCATCCATCATCAGGTCATCATCTTTATTAAGGGGATGTAGTCCTCAGATACCTCCAATATCCTCCAATCTCAGACCTTGTTGACCTTGAAGGGGGGGGACGTTTATTGATCCGGTGTCGAGATTAACCCCAAGGCCCTAAGCCTGTGGGCCCGTGGTCTTTCTCAAGCCTCTGCAGCGCAGCTTCTTCGCGCCTCGCAGGCGTCGGAGGTGGTGTCGCCATAGAAGACCAAGCGCGCCACCAGCCGCGCGTCGCTCCAGGCCACGACCAACCTCAACGACGAGCCGCGGAGACGCGGCGCCCCGCGATGCCCCGCGTCTCACGACCCTCGCAGGGACGGTTCGGAGGGTGTTCTTCGACGGGAGCGCGTGGGGAGCGTGTGCAAATCGCCGTTGCAGGGACAGTTTTGTGCGGTTGGAACATGGGTTGGTGAAGCGAAAAAAGACTTTGACAGTCCATTGTACCAGTTCCCAATGCAATGGTTTCTCAAGATTTTCTCCACCACCTGACCTACCCCAAGACCCCCAAGACCACCCTCCGAGCCGCAGCTCGTACGCCTCTGAGCCCTCCAGGGCAATGAAGAGCACCTCGCCGTTCCGCCGCTCACTCCTGGCATTACCCCGTTCGCCCTCTAAACACGGAAGGCCCCGAAACGTCCTTTCATGCTTCTTTCATCCACTTTTGGCTGTTTTTGCAGAAAAAATGCCGCAAGCGCGGGTCATCGGGTTGGAAAGATCTTCGGAAGGTGCTCGCAAATTAGACTATAATTTACTTTTACCTGGACATCTTTAGATGTTCAGATTGGGCTCTTGTGATGTTCAAGGACTTGCAGTCGAAGCCCCAATCTGGACACCAAAAAGACCCAACGACCTGGCGTTGTCTATGACTTGTTTGTTGTTTCCTGGGTCTGGAGTTGAGGCCCTCCCGAATCCAGTCCTTGGGGCTCATATCTACTAGGGGATACTAGGGGCTTTTGGAGAGTGATCACACGCTGATTCCCTTCTCCACGACCTCCCTGGGGGTCCACCAGGTCCTGGGGTCCACGTGGTCCACGGGTCCCGGTACTCCTCAGGACGCTCGTCACGGAGCACAGCTCCAGCATCCGGTGGGTCACAAAGGCCGCAGCATGGGCTGCGGAGCCGCCAAAACGAGAGGACTCGGGCCGGACGGTGATGAGAGAGAGAGAGAGATGTGCCAGTCTCCATGACCTGGAGTTTGATGGAGAGAGATGTGGCTCCTCATGCAAGGTGCAAAGAAGAATTACCCCTACAGGATTCCAACCACCCTTGATTTATCTATAGCCGCTATAGCCTTTGCTGAACAGCCATTGGTTTTGCAAGGTGTTTACACTGAATAAACCCGTCAACATAGGGTTACCATAGATTATTTGTTACATTTATTGTTACCATAAGTTCTAATTGGTTCAAACGCCTGGATAGAGTGAACATCTTGGCGACTCCTATGCGGGACAACATGCCGCATTTGAATAGAAAGAGTCAGGGCTCTGGGCCACTCTGGTTGACTCCCGGAAATGAACCGATTGAAATAGGGAGATCTGGAACCAATGGGTTTGGGTCTATTTTCCTTCCAGGGGGGTCGGAACGCCTGGTGTCGGTCTTCCTGTTTTGATACACACCAAGGCCATGATGCCATGTCAACGTGGCTTGGTGATGGGGAGGTGCCACGACTCACAGCTATTTGATGGATGAGCTGATCCACTGGGGCGATCCTGGCACTCTAGACAACAAGACGCACAGAAGTGCTGCTTGGGCCGAAGGGGCTCTTGACAAACACACGCCTCTCGCTGTATACGAAATATTGTTATGCATTCCTTTCAACATCCTCCACATACCAAGAGAAACCATGCGGCA